TTTTAAGATATAAATCTATATCTATATAAAAAACTCAGCACAATACTCGACTGCTTGCTTGTAGTAGGCTTTAGGCTAATTTGGTATATATTTTTGGCTATTTTAACTCCAAGTGTTGGGTTATGGATTATCAAAAAATATAGGCTAGAGATCGTAGGATTATTATGTATTTTATTGACTCAAATGTTTTATAACTAGCTTAGCCTTATATAAAAAGCTAAGCTGGTTACATAAATATACAATTCTAACTTTAAATAATAGACTATAAATCATGAGAAAAACAAAGGTAATACCCCGATAACTGTTATAGTAAGTGATTGAAATAGCTAGACTGATAGGAAAATGTCATATTCAAAGTATAAAGCAAATTAAATGTATTATCAAAGAAAATTCGAGTTTCTATAATGCATTTTAGTATAATTTAATAGTTAAATCGTAATTATACTTTAATAGTAACTTAAAATTACATTATAACATTATAGTACACTGTGTTTCAGCAGTTAAGCGCTTTTTAGTTTATGCAATTATTTGCGGCTTCATATTATGACGCATTTGTGATATTAATTATTGATTAAGTCAATTTAAAAACCAAGTACATTAGCAGCTTCTTTCAATAGAAACTATTAGAGCTCAGGGGGTAAGGTTTTTTTTTATTAAAGCAAGGGGTTTGCCTTAATCTCGGAAAGTCATTTTTTTAATCTAAAAACAATCTCGTTCATACTTCAAAACCTGTAAAGATTAATTTTACAAATAAAAATATTAATCTCCATATAAATTAATCAATTCATCAATTAATCAATAAAATAATATTTAAAAATAAATCATTTTTATGTTTTCAACAATTTGAAATCCAAACTTATGATGTCTCAATCAATTACTTTAAAAAACTCTTATAGCACTGAAGAATAACTTTGATTAGGTCTAAAAAGGTCAATAGATATAATTTGTTTATAATATTTTTTTAATCGATAGATTATACTCAGTTATAAAAGAGGTAATAGGAAATAGATACATTAAATTGTCTATTAACTA